TAGGGATAAGTTTCAACCCAGGTCTATTTCTGCTATCTTTTTGGGCTATCCTTGTGGGAAGAAGGGATACAAATTGCTGAATTTATCCTCCCACTCTATTTTCATTTCCAGGGATATTGTATTTTATGAACATGTCTTCCCCTATCATTCCTCCCCTTCTTCTAATCCTTCTTTTCCTCCTATTTTTACTGATGTACCTTCTGTTCCATCTGCTACTACTGCTAGTACTACTGCCCTTCCTCTTTCCCTCAAGTACCTTCCTATACATCTCCTCCTTCTACTTCTACACTTTTTCATGCTTTTCAGGGGACCCAGACTTTCGATCTCTTATCTATGGCGGGAGGTTTATTTCATATCAAGAGTGTGTTGGGGATCCTTCTACTTCCACTCCATCACCTCCTACTTATATTGCTTCACTTGCTGTCCCTGTTCCTAAGCTTAGAAGATCATGCAGAACTGTCCAAGCCCCTGCAAACCAGACTTGGGACATACTCCCCCTTCCTCCACATAAAAAGGTAATCCCTTGCAAGTAGATCTATAAGATCAAACAAAGGTCAGATGGTACCATTAAGAGGTACAAGGCCATATTAGTCATCAGAGGCGATACCTAGAAAGAAGGGGTTGACTATACTCAAACTTTTTCCCTAGTTTTTAAGATCATCACTATTAGATGCCTCCTCATTCTAACTGTCAAAAGGGTTTGGACTGTTTTCCAGTTGGATGTCAACAATAACTTTTTGTATGGTGACCTACATGAGGAGGTAAAGTAGACATTCCCCATGGTCTCGTGATCTCTTCCCCATCTTCCCCTTCCTCTCCTTTGGTTTGCAGACTCAAGAAGTCTCTTTATGGCCTCAAACAAGTATTTAGGTAGTGGCTTTCAAAGCTGTCTGATTCTTTGCTCTCTAGAGGCTACATTTCAAGAAAAAATGACTATTCCTTATTCACTAAGTCTTCTGGTGCTTCTTTGGTGGTAGTTTCTATTTATGTGGATGGCATTCTCTTAGCTGGGGATGACATTGTTGAAAATGGCTACTTTCAAAACTGCGGATTCTATAATAAGACCCTATTCACGGGCATTCTCCGTCTTAGAAATGAATTCATACCCGGTAATCTACGATCTACCCTGTACCTTAGTTTATGTTGAATAGGCATACCCGACTTCCAACTAATTGTCAAATAAATCTATCCTTGCTACAATTCCTAGTTTGAAAGAATTCTTTGAAACTAAAATTCCGGTAAATCAAGCATGTGTAGAATACTTGACTTTTCCATGTGCAAGACCATAAAAAGTATTCCTCCTTAAAGATTTGCTCTGCGAAGGCCTTTTGGAGATTGACCTTTCTTTCTCTTATTCCTAGTCTGATCGGTAGAGCTCTCGTAATTGATAGCTCATATGTCCATTTTGTTCTGGCTAGCGAAGTCGGGATATTCTACTATCTGAAGGATTTCTTGGATACCAAATTCAATATTAAAGATCTACGGTTTGTCCACTATTTTCTGGGATTGGAAATTACTTCACACCAATAGGGGTACCTTATGAGCCAACGTAAATACACCTCTGATCTTCTGGCTGAGTTTCATTGTGATAACTTCACCCTTGGTTCTACTCCATTGAATTCAACCGCTAAACTAGTTACTGATATGGGGGACCCTCTCTCTGATCCTAGCAAGTATAGGAGATTGGTAGGTAAACTTAATTTCCTTCAACATACCAGACCTGTCATATGCTTGTCTGTCCAACATCTCAGCTAATTTTTGCAATTTCCCATGTTCCTCACATGTTAGCAGCCCTTCATGTTCTTAGATACCTCCTGAATGTCCTGCCCAAGGCATTCTGCTCTCTGCCAGTTCTGATTTGTCTTTAAAAGCTTTTTCAGACTCTTATTGGGTTGCTTATGCTATTTCTCGAAGGTTTGTAACTGGTTTTTATATTAATCTTGGGGGAAGTCCCATTTCGTGGAAAGCAAGAAACAACATTTTATATCTCTCTCCTCGGCTGAGGCTGAGTATAAGGCCTTAAGGATGGTGGTGGCTGAAATTTCTTGGTTGGTTCGACTGCTTGATGACTTTCATTTACCTATTTATGCTCCTCATCCTTTGACTTGTGATAGCCAGGCTGCTTTGCACATTACCAAAAATCCAGTTTTCCACGAGCGCACCAAGCACATTGAGGTTTATTATCACTTTGTAAGGGACAACCCGAGTTCTGGTTTGATTTTCAATTTGTCTCCAGCTCCAACCAACTTGCTGATATGTTAACATATAATTTATCTAGGCCTCTTCATCATCAGTTCTTGTGCAAGCTTGGAGTGTCTACACCCTCCAGCTTGGGGGAGGTGGGGGGAGGGTATTAATAATACCGAGCCTGCATAGTTTTAGTTGACCATGAGGCAGCCCAATTGTATACCCGGCCCAGCTTTACATTTACATTTTCCATTATATCCATTTCATTTGTATTGTAAATGTACATACATTGGAACATTATGAAAATAATGAGATAATAGATATTTTTCCTCTTTCGTCTCCTCTCTTCTCCCTCTTTTTCATAACTGTTAGGGTTCATGTTGTTCTCGTTTCATCTCCAAATTGTGATATGATTTCTCACATTAACATATTTGAAAAAAATAGGCAAAATGAGTCTTCAATAGGTGTAACTGTGTTAGTCTTCCATTACAACCATTAGTTTAAACTTGATAAGTTTTTCAACTATGAAGAGTTGTCTAAAAACTTCTTTGAAGGTCAAATGTGTTCGTTGAAAAAGGCTCTTAGGGCTCATGAGAGGGCAAAGGAGAACGAGATGAACTTAAGTCTAAGGGGTCGTTTGGTTGGGAAACAAGTTAATCTCATGATTAATTATCCCGAAAATTAGTTATTCCGGGATTAGTTATCCCACCATCCCATGGGAATAAAAATACTAATAAACTCATCTCAAATTTAATTCCAGAATTTTATCCCAACCAAATGTGGGATAAACTCATCTCAAATTTAATTCAAAAATTAATTATCCGTTATTACTCGTACCAAACGAGCCTTAAATGTACAAAATATCTTTGTTTTACTTTTTAGTTTAAAGTGTACGTTTGACTAATAACCCGTTTGGCCAAGCTTCTCCAAGCTGAAAAGTACTTTTTTTTTAATTTAAAAAAAGTATTTTTTTTCCAAAGTTGAAGTGTTTGACCAAACTTTTAGAAGAAAAAGTGCTTTTGAGTAGAAACAGAAACAGTTTTGGAGAAGCAGAAAAAAGTAGCTTCTTCCCAGAAATATCTTTTTTAGAAGCACTTTTAAGAAAAATTACACTTAGAAGCACATTTTAAAAGCTTGGCCAAATACTAAGTGCTGCTTAGAAGTGCTTTTCAAATTAATTAGCCAAATACAAACTGCTTCTTAACAAGAGTACTTTTGAAAAAAAATACATTTCTCAAAATAAACTAGGGGTGTCAATGGTTCGGTTCGGCCGATTATTTTATAAAATTTGTAGCATACTAAATTTTCGGTTATTCTATTATGTATAACCAACATTAGACTTTTCGAAACTGCTATTTTTCTTCGGTATTGGTATGGTTCGGTAAGGTTTTGGTAATTTTTTTAAAAGTCATGTAAAAGTCACTAGTAGAAGTGGAATGCAATAACATACGTACTTTTATAGGACTTAACAAAAATTTTTAGACATTTTTATAATTTAAAATGTGATGAATTAAGAAATTATGAAAGATAGCTAAAGTATAGATCCATCAACTATTCTAAATCAGCGTAAAAGGAACTAAGCAAATACAAAAATAATATAAATCACACGAGTGGAAAGATATTAACTAAGCTGGAATTCAAGAATAAAGTCAACAGAAGATTAAATATCCAAAAAGATAAATCAAAATCATACGAAAGGAAAGATTCAATACATTGTAGTTTGCTACTCATAATCGTTGCAATACCTTGTGTCTTGCTAGTGAACATGCTAGAAATAATTTAGTTTCAATAGGAGTAGCATAATAAGTTTGAAAATTAGGATTTTGAGTTTAATTACTTGTTGCTTATAACCGTTTCATAATTTCAAGGTCCACGAAAAAATTTAATACTTTATTATTTTTAAACTTAATATATAAATAAATTGTTCACATTGTAGATGTATTCGGTACAGTTCGGTATTTTTTCGATTTATTTTCATAAAATAAAAAACATACTCTAATTATCGGTATGATTATAGATTTATATAAAAATCTACAGTTTTGTTAAAAGAAATCTAATTCGGTTCGATACGTTACAGTTCCATTGGTTTAGACTATGTCCAACCCAGCACCAATTTTGACACCAAACACCATTTTAGTGTAAGATTTGGTGTTTTTTGCTCCAATCCAACACCATTTCTTACACCATTTTAGTGTGTGAATAGTGTTTTTAGTGTGTGAATAGTGTTATACCAAATTTGGTGTAACACTATTCATCAACACCATTACTATTCACCATTATTTTAATATTATCTTTTATCATATAACACTTTTAATTTAACATATTATAATTTGTAATTAATTATAACTTTTATGTAATATATTTATAATATTAATTTTATATTTTAATTTTGGTGTATAATTTTTATATTAATTTTCGTATACTTTATTTTTATATAAATTGTAAATTAGTTTTATTATAAGTTATAGTTGCGGGAGCAACATACGAATCTTGTAAGTTAAATATTTATGTAAAAATTAAACTAAATTTTACCATAATATAATATTTATTTAATTATATCTTATCAATGATTTTATTTTTATTTGAATTATATAGTTAGTATGTATAATGTATAATAGTTGCTTATAATTTATATTTGTTTAAAAATTAAAGGTATAGAATAATTTTAAGAAAGAAATGTGAATTATATGGGATAAATATGTAAAAAAGAAAAAAGAACGGATATATTTTATAAAAAAATAATATAATATAAAAGAGAGACAAGAATATAAAAGAAATATTTTTTTGGTGTAAAAACTAGTATAATGGGTTGAAGCACCATCTTTAATGGTGCCAAGGGTTGGAGATGCCCTTGGTCCGTTTTTAAAATAAACTACAATAACTCTCGGGCATTATTGGTATGAACAGTGCATTCTAAGAACACAGAGACTAAGAGACACAAAGACGCACCACCATTTGCTTTACCAAGACCTTGTAGCAGAGTTCTCATTTCGGCCCAATTACAAGTCCCATAATTCACCTCTCTGCTCAGTCTGCTGCGTATATCGGGTTCTTTTGTTATTTCCCCTTCGTAGCTCTTTTTGGTGTTTTACTGAAGCTGCTAATCCATATCCTAGTCTCGAGCAGGTACAATTTGTTTTTCACTCTGAAATTAGTTTGGCTTTTCAATTTCCATATGAAGAAAAAGTTGTTTTTGCGCGTCTTCTGTTTGATGAAATTCCTCTGAGAACCTCTCTCTCTATATATGTGTATTTTGATGGTGAATTGCTTCCATTTGTTTCTGTTTTCTGCAAATTCTTATGAAAATCAACCATTGAGATTGAGTTGTAAACACCTTTTCCTTCCTTTTTGTCCCTCTATTGCACTGTGCTTATTGTAGGCAGAAGAATATAAATGGACTGGGCATTTGTGCATAAAATCTGGGAGAAATGGATTTCGAGCAATGTTGGTTCAGGTCAGTGAATGTAACACTTCTGAAGATCTGTTCTTGTTTAACTTTAACATGTATAGTTAGCTGAAATGGATTATCCCTCTTTCAGGTCAACTGTTAAAGGCTGCTTTACTTTTAAACTTCGACCCCAATGGCCCTTCTCGTCTGATATCTACCATGTAAGTGAAAATGTGGAAAAACCATTTAAAGCTCTTACCTTTTTCTGTTAATGTGTATTTTTAGACAGCTAACTGGTTATTTTGAACAATGCAATTGCTTTTTTTCTAGTAGGAATTTTTACGAGCATAATAAGTTCAGAAAGTTGGCCGCATCATTAAGATAAAAGTTCAGAAAGTTGATCAAAACCCTTTTCCCTCAAATACCACCAGTACTTTGATACTAGTGATCTTTTATCTTCTTTTACTATCATGAAAATGAATTTTTCTGACAAAAGTGATCTTTTATTTATTTTTATTTTTGATAACCGTGATGTTCGGGCTAGCTTTTGCGCACTTCGACTAATTCCTCAGGGTACCTGCTACCTCCCGCCATTATAGGTACCTCGTAACTCTATCCACCAAGGCTTGGATAGACGGAAAGAAATCACCTAGTGTTTTTGCCTCCGCTGGATTTTGAACCTGAGATCTCATGGTTCTCAACCCACTTCATTGACCACTAGATCACACCCTTGGGTGCAGTCCTTTATCTTATTTTACTATAATGAAAATGATCTTTTTTGCTTCAGTATAAGATACTTTCCTCCTTATTTCCAGGCCTTTCATTTTGGTGCGACTTCAGATTTTTGTGTAATTTTAGCTGCCAAATAAACTTATAAACCTGAGAAACATAAAACAGAAGACTGTCCAACCATTCTTCTTGCTCTTATAGTGGAAGCCTACTCATGGTTAAAGATTTTGCTTTATGGGTATCCACAACAAAATACTGAAAAGTTGAAGTTCAAGTGTCATTTTCTTGAGTTGGTGAAATAAGTACTGGTGTTCTACTTGTCCTTTTCGATTAGTAAAGATATATACAAAAGGGGAAGACCCAGTATTTGCTTTCTACATAAGAATTGATTGCTCTAGCAAAAAGATGCTTTTTACAAAGTTCATTGAATCGTCTGTACATATATGAACCTCACAAGTACTCCAAAATAGACCAAGTATGGTGCTCTGCATTTCTAGGAAGGTTCTCTCAGCTTCCCACATATATAGCTGCAGTGCAAAAACAACCAGCAGTCATGCTTTAGTTGTGAAGTAACAGAAGAAACTTTACTTACTCGAGTTACTTCCATATGGGGCAATAGATGATGAGATAAGAAGCAAAAGAAATTTCTTTTTGGAGACTTTATAGTCGCCAATATGTGTAAAACAGTTTTCTTTTTCGCTTTGCTTTGCCCTTATGGAAAAAGGTGTAATTTTAAAGCCTAATGTTTATGCCTGTAGTGCAGAGCAAGAGGGCATAAAGGCAGATCCAACTGAAATGTGTGAACTTGTCAGTTTCGTCAAGAGAAACAAACTGCAGACGGAGAGCTTCTTCATTGGACAGAATCAATGTGAGTTAATTGCTGTTTACAAATAAAAATATATCATGCATGAACTTTGGATTTCGGGAACTATGTTATTTTTTTGCCCGTCACCTGAACTGTATGTCTTGGATCTGGCACTTTGGTTGGAATATGTAGAAGATAGTGATGGGGTACTTACAGTCATGTTCGTACTTTGCCTCTTCCACCTATGTGATATTGAGAAGTAAATGCAATATATCTATCTTTTCTATATAAAAGTTTTTCTGGGTTGTGTGGTTGGGCTGCTTCTAGGGTTTGACAGCGTCATTTAAATCAATTTTTTTTTTTTAATTTAGTCCCTTTCTACTTTTGATTATTTTGGTTAACTCCCTGGGCAGGTTTATTGTAATGGAGCTAACATTGATCCTTCTTGTAACTTTGCATCTTCTTGATGCTTACAATGAAACAACTTGTTTCATAAAAAAAAAAAAGAGAAAAAAAAAAAAGCGTATGACAGCATTGTTTGTGCACAAAGTCAATAATGCAGAGCAAACACAAACTGTGATACCTCAGTACTTGTTTATGCTCGTTGTAATTACTATTCTTTAGAAAGGATCACTAAGACCAGAACAACTGGTTTTGTTTTTGGACATAAACACTACCTAAAAGCTAGCTTTGCCATTTTGTTGACAGATCTTGTAACGACAATTCATGAGAGTTGGTTCAGTGCAAGATGCATGAGTACTTCAAAACCTGCTGGTGAAGGTGCTATTCTGATGCACACCGGAGCGTTCCTCTTGATTGGATTGTAAGTGTTTCCGTATTTTGGTGTACAGTTGGCCAATCTACACACACCATTCTCCGTGGTACTCAACAACTAGAGTCATCTCCCTTTCTCCTTTTAGCTTTAGTCAGTCTATGGTGTAGTGACTAACCAAATTGCCTTGAAACATACCACGACTCTTTAGATTTGATGCATGGAAAGAACATACTTGTTAATTAATGTCAATCTTTCTTTTTAGGAACTACTAAAATTTGAAGAAATGCTTGTATAAATAACAAGAAAATTCCATCAAATTCCTTTGTTGATTGTTAAGATTCCTGTAAATTCCTTCAGAGTTCTTTGTTGATCTTTTCTTGAATTCATTCAAGATTTTCCTAAATTAAGGTCTTCAGAGAATCACTTTTTGGACCTTCTCTTATATGTATATTCCAATTTTTTTCCTTCTTTAATCTCTCTCAGCACTTCAAATTTTCGTTTATAGGAAGCTAGCTCTTTTTGTCGAATCTACAAAGAAATTTGTCTTATAAACCCTTCCCCAAAACCATATGTGAGTACGTAAATTCTCACAAAGATATAGGGTTGGTTCCATTGGCTTCTCCATCCCCACTTGGTTCAGAACTCCACATAGAGCTAAGTAATTGTTTATTGCTTTGATCTAGAAACCCCTACAAAATCTGCCCAAAGCTTCTATTATTTCGTTGCCTTCTTGTAAGTTTATATCCCTCTTTCTACTTGTCTAAAAGGAAAAAAATATTCCTCGTTCTTCCTACATTAGTGGGACTCTGATGAAGCTTATTCTTTTCCTTCTGTAGTCATGTTTGAGTTTAACCGTGTACATCTTCTCTGGTTTAGGGTTGAGTTTGGCTGTGAAGGTCTCTCAGAAGACCATCTTTGACCAACTTTTTACTGTGGGACACATGAACCTCTTTGTCTATCTACATTAGTTTGAGTCTGTTAACTATTGGATTCAATGCACAGAGACCTTTGTAAATGAGGATTTTATGTATCCAGTTAGATAAGGTCCCAAAATCAGAGTTTGCTTTTAAAGTATGTAATTCCACATTTAAACAGAACACATGCAGCCTGCAGACCTTTTTGGTGACTATGCTTAAACATACAACAACAACAACAATAACAATCCTAGTATTTTCCCACAAGTGAGGTGTGGGAAGGGTGAGATGTACGCAGCCTTACCCCTATCCTAGAAGGGCAGAGAGGANTAGTATCTTCCCACAAGTGGGGTATGGGGAGGGTGAGATGTACGCAGCCTTACCCCTACCCTAGAAGGGCAGAGAGGTTGTTTCCGATAGACCCTCGGCTGGAGAACGAATGACAAAAGTAATGGCAACAAGAAGGAATAACAACAAGATAAAAATACTGAAGCCAAGAAAGCAATTAAACTCTAGGTAATAATAGCAATCCATGAATAAAAGGATATCATACTAACACTAATGCTAGCGAACTGGGAAAGACAAAGAGATACGCTCGACTACCTACTAGCCTTCTACCATAATCATCGACCTCCACACCCTCCTATCTAGGGTCATGTCCTCAGTCAACTCCAGCTGCGCCATGTCCCGCCTAATAACCTCGCCCCAAGACTTCTTAGACCTACTTCTATTCCCCCTGATACCTACACCTACTGAGACTAACCTCTCGCACCTTCTGGCTAGGGCTTCTACACTTCTCCTCTTAATATGCCCGAACCATCTCAACCTCGCCTTCCGCATCTTTTCCTTCACAGAAACCACACAACTATACTTAAACATGCTTACTTGAAATTGGGATTTGACTCACTGGAGCCATGAATTTACTATTTGTTCATACAGATATGATGGCTCGATTGGTTCAGCATGCCGTGCAATGGTATCTCTCGATCAGTTTGCGTGGCAACTTAGTCGAAGAAATGATTGATTGCTTCATATGTATGTCAAAAAGATGTTACTTTTCTATTGAGGATTGCTCGGGTCATGGTGTTTGAGTTTTTCTTAATTTACCATTTTCTTCTTTGCAGAGATCCATGGTCTCTGCATATTGTTGAATCAATATTTCTTGAGCTGCAAACTGGTAGCGTATTGGATGTCTTTGTACAAGCTCAGTACAAAATTCAAGGTTGTTCACCTAAACTAGTCGAGGCATTTTTTGATTACAGATGGAAATTCTAGTTGATCATTTGGTGATGCTTTCATGTTATGGATTTTCAACTAAGCTGAGTAGCAGTATGGATATATTTAAGCTCTAACTGTTTAGTTATCTATAGGCATGTAGAACTAGTGTTATATATGAACAGATCTTCGTTAAATTAATTTTAGCGCTTCATTTTGGGGTTATTGTTTTTTAAATGGTAACCCAGTTCCATATTTTGATAAGGGCAGGCCTATCCCTATACAAGAAATATCTAGGAGATAGAGGTATAATCTCACATGGAACATACATATACCATAGATAAGCTTCAAACTAAAATTCTTAATCCGTTGGTAACTTGTATCAACGCATGCTACCTAACCAGGGCAAGCTAGGGGATATCTCAAATTTGAATCATTCAAACTCAACAGAAACATATAGCTCAATTCTCAGATCATTGATATAATAATGCCCCATAGTAATGTTTGGGGTTGTCATTGTATTTATAAAGCGATACATACGTGGAAGAGACAAGAATACCCTTATTTAAAAGGGTAATATACAACAATTCCTAGGCTAACATGGTAAAAGATACATGTGAATTATCACGCCCCCTCAAGGTGCTGTCATCTATCTCGACCAGTTTCCCGAGGCGTTGGAAATCCAGATCGGCTCAGAGAATCACTCTCGCTATTTAGCCCTCGAGTGTGGGAACATGCGAAGATTGTCTCGAAGAGTCTTAAATCGATGAGAGGATAGGCCTTGGTAAGAATGTCAGCTAGTTGGCGCTCCGTTGGAAATAACGAACAAGAATAGATCCAGAGGCTACACATTTCCGTACAAAGTGAAAATCAACTGCAACATGCTTTGTACGAGAATGATATATAGGATTCATCATAAGATATAAGGCACTTACATTATCATAAAAGATAAGTGGCGCATCAGAGAGAAAAATATGCAAGTCCCGTAGCAGCTGTTGAATTCATAATACCTCAGCCACAGTGTGAGCCATGGCACGATACTCAGCCTCGGTACTAGAGCGAGAGACAGTATGTTACTTCTTAGAAGACCAAGAAATGAGATTTGAACCAAAGAAAACCAGAGATTCAGTGGAAGACCGACGAGTATCACAACAACCAGCCCAATCAGAATCCGAATGTGCAGTAAGAGAATAAGTAGTAACTGGTTTCAACAATAACCCAAAATCGAGAGTATCAATATAACACAAAATGCATTTAACAGCAGCACGGTGAGTGGAAGTAGGAGCATGTAAGTGTTGACTAGTTGTATTTACCGCAAAGGCAATGTATGGTCGAGTCAGAGTCAAATACTATAAGCATCCACTAGACTGCGGTATAAAGTACCATAAACAACAGCAGAGTCCTCAATAGTGGCAGATCGAGAAGAAGATGAATCGGAGACAGGCTTGGACTGTAACAAACCAACATGATCAAGAATATCTCGAGCATACTTACTCTGAGAGAGATGCAAACCATTTGCCAACCGAGTGAAACGAATACCCAAAAAATGATGAAGATCACCAAGATTAGTAATAGAGAACTCAAAGTAAGATTAGTAATAGAGAACTCAGACTTAAGTAATCTAGAAAACCAGGATATTAAGCTAGGATTGGAGCCAGTCAGTACGATATCATCCACATATAATAACAAGAAAAAATATTGACCACCAGGTGAATAAACAAACATAGATGAATCTGCACGGCTATTCTGAAACCCATGTGATAGTAGAAAGGAACCAAACCGACTAAACCATGCATGAGGTGCCTGCTTGAGACCATATAATGCCTTATGTAGTTTGCAAACATAGTCTGTTCGAACAAAATCAATAAACCCCTGTGGCTGCTCCATATAGACAAACTCATGCAAATAACTATTAAGAAATGCATTTTTTTACATCAAACTGATGAATAGACCAACCACGAGAAATAGCAATAGAGAGTACTATTGGGACGAACAACAAGACTAAAGGTCTCACCATAATCCACACCAGGTGCTTGAGTATAGCCCTTGGCTACCAATCTCGCCTTACAACGATCAAGAGAGCTATCAGACTTCTGCTTAACTCGATAGACTCATTTGCAGCCAACAACATTAACACCAGATGGATGAGGAAGAAGAGACCACGTCTAGTTTGCAAGTAGAGCATTGAACTCTTCTGCCATAGCACTCCGCCATCTAGCATCCTTAGTTGTAGAGCTGAAACAAGTAGGCTTAGCAGGCAAATTAATCAAAGACATAGAATTAAGAGCATACTTCGGATTTGGTTTAACCACACCATACTTAGATCGAGTAATCATGGGATGAGAAGAATCAAAGATTTAAGGTGATGGCTCAATAGTGGAGGTGGATATAGGACATGAATCAGTACTAGACAACGGCAAGGAAGAGGAGTCTAAGGAGCTAGGAGGAAGGGAAGATAAACTAGGAGACTCAACAGAAGAAGAGGAGGACACGGAAGTAGTGGCAGAACTAGTAGACTCGGGTGCAGTAGGAGTAGGACTAGGTAACACAACAGGTATAGGGAGGAGAACATGAGGCACAAAAGGACGAGGGGGTAGAAAAGCAGATAAATTTGCATATGGGAAACAATGCTCAATAAAGCGAACAGAGCTACTAATATAGACACGGTTAGTATCAAGACGTAGACACCGATATCCCTTGTGACTAGATATGTACCCTAAAAACACGCAAGGAGAAGAAGGAGAGTCAAGTTTGTGAGAACGATAAGGATACAAATTAGGATAACAAAAACACCCAAAAAGTTTTAAAATGGTATGGTCAGGTGGAACCCCAAATAGGTTCTCATAGGGAGAGAGCTTAGCTAGGGAAGAAGAAGGAAGATGATTAATAAGATGAACAACAGTAAGAAAAGCTTCAACCCATAAAGAAAGAAGGGAATGAGCATGAAAAAGTATAGTGCGAGCAACATTAGTGATGTGACAGTGCTGACGCTCAGCTACACCATTTTGCTGAGGTGTGTGAGGATAAGATAATTGATGATGAATGTCATGCGAGCGGAGAAAAGAGATAAAGGAAGAACTTTGATACTCGCCCCCGCCATCTAAACGAAATGTCTTAATAGACCCACCAAATTGATTTTCAAGAAGAAGTTTAAAATGGGTATAACAAGATATGACATTACTTTTATGACGAAGAGGATAAATCCATGTGTAACGAGTGAAATCATCAATAAAAAAAACATAATCATGAAAACCACTAACTGAGGGCACATGGGACTGCCAAACATCAGAATGAATTAACTCTAAAACATAAGAAGTAGTTGAAGTACTTAAAGAAAACGACAAAGCCGAATGTTTAGGGCTTAAAAAACAAGAATTACCAAAAAAAAAGAACTAGAAAAAGGCCTAGACGATGAAATTAACTTTCTAGATCTAAGTAAATCTGAGACAACATGACTTGGATGCCCCAAACGCGCATGCTAAATAGAACTAGATCCATGTAGAGCAGCAAAGGTTGATGGCTGAGCAGACGATGACAATGCAGAGGAAGACTGAAAAGGATAGAGAGGCCCATCAGTACGGGAGTGATGCAGAACTTTCTCCGTCGCCAAATCCTTAACATCAAAACCCCAAGGAAGAAAGTTAATACCACAATTATTTTCTTTGATAAATTGATGAACAGATAATAAATTCTTGCAAAGATGCAGAACATACAAAATAGGGGGACAAAGTAAAGGATCAAGAAGGAGTAGAAAGAGAAGAACACCGTTAACAGGAATACGAGTACCATTACCAACCAAGATGGAATCATTTGAAACAGGAGAAAAGGAAGAGAGATTACCCAAATCATTAGTCATGTGTGTGGTTGCACCAGAATCCAAGTACCAATTCTTGTCTGGAGGGGACTGCAATGAGAGTGCTTTCATATTCGCCTGAAGACTAGGAGTAGTATAAACATGGTTATGGTGCTGGACAAGCAAGTGCCGTATGACCAGAAAGATCACAAATCTGACAAATCATAGTAGTAGAAGTAGGAGTAGGAGCCACAAATGAAGGCAAGTGATAAGGTGAAGGAGCCAAGACACCACGACCAGAGGTAGAATGTTAGAAAGGACCACCACAAGAAACTGGGGAAAGTGACGGACTATAATGAATTTGTGAAATATTGCCACGACCATAATCTTGAGCGCGACCTCGGCCACGACCACGACCACCTCTACAATATCCCGAGGAAGCGGAGGAAAGAGGATTAGCTACTGTAGCAACCAACGCCGTAGTAGGTGATACTAGATCAGAAGAAGGGAAAGTACGAGCCTCATGAGTAAGAAGCGTCGTCCATAACTTAAAAAATCGAGGAGCAGGACGCATGTGCGAGGCCATGATCACAAAAGAGTCATAAGACAACGAAAGCCCATTCAGAGAAGACATAAGTAACAGAGAAGGAAAAAACATGGAGAACACAAGAGATGCTTCAGCTGTGAATTTTATCCACGGTCGGTGCTAAGTAGGGTTAGGGTAGGATCTTTAGGCTTCTGATACCATGAAATAATAATGCCCCATAGTAATGTTTGGGGTTATCATTATATTTATAAAGCAGTACATAAGTATAAGAGACAAGAATACCTTTATTTAGAAGGGTAGTATACAACAATTTCTAGGCTAACATGGTAAAAGATACATGTAGATTATTAATCACATCATATATAAATAGTATCAACTTTTAACTCAAACACTAATCCCGAGATACAATCTTAAAATTGTAGTAAAGAAATCATAATTACTGAAAATCTCTAATGATAGGTTAAGACTTTGTAAATATTCGCATCATTTATTCAAAACATGTAGAGCATATTCGGAAAACTACCTAAGTATTGGATTTTGGGTGCAATTATACAGTTTGATATGTTGTCTGGCCAAGTAATTACTTGGTCAGTATGAAATTGGGTGTAATTGAAGGGGTGTAATCACACTCTCTAATTTTCAAGAGGAGGTAAGAATTGGTGGTAATTACACTGTGTAATTACAAGCTAATGGAACTTTTAGTATTTCTCGTTTTTTTTAAAAACTATATTAAGTATTATTCTTTTTAAACTATTTCTCCTTCATTTATCTTATCCTCCTTTTCCAACATTCCAGTATTGTTTCTTATGGGGTGCTTTCATATAATTTTGCATCTTCTCAGATTTTGCTTTATTTTTCTTAGTTAATAAACACAATTTTCTATTT